CGGAGGTCGGCGCAGCGGAACCGTCGCGTTCTCTGTTAGCGTTGCAACGAGAAACACGGGCGATTGTTATCTATAACGCGACGAGAGGGAAAAGGTGAACACCGAAACGGGACGAGTACAGAAGACGAGAGGCCGCGAAACCAGAGTAGAGATAATTACGTAAAAAGAGCGCCCGCGATTTTACGAGGAAGTTCCGATAATTAGAGAGACGATTACAATACAATACGTTTATTAAACTAACACTATTATACTCGTTAAAGAAATAAAGAATTAAAAAGCGAAGCGATTACTTGTTGCCACATATCGAAGTCAAATTGAAAGAATTCGAAACTCGAGTTGCTCACTACGAACGAACGAAACGGATCGGAATTGGGGGGGACGGGGGATGTTGGGTGTGCGCGGAAATGGGAAGGAACGAAAAATTCATTGCTCACGGATGCTCGTTTATTTTTTTTATCCAGCGGAGACCGGCGTTTACGAGTCCGGGATCGTAAGCCGGACGCTTAGTGAGAGTAATTAAATGTTCGAGTGGACTTTTCAACTATCACGCTCAAAAAAACGTTCAAGCATTTAAGCTGTTCACGAGATATTCAGGGTCTTAGGGATTAATTAGACGAAGAATAAAAAAAAAACGGTAGAGAAATTTGTCGAGTCGTTCGTTAAACTAATTATCGTCGTTGCTAGGATGGATATAAAAGTAGACACCGGCGAAAGGGAGGTTCTTTCCGTTGATTTTTCAATCACTTGTCGCGGATCATGCGCAACCTGTGTCACGTGTGTGCCATCGGTGACGAATTATTACGAAACATCGGTGCTGACAATGGATTGTGAAATCGGGGTGCGAGGATTGGAAGAGATCGAGCTAGTCGAACAACTTTTGCCGAAATCCGGAACAGAATGCGACGAGATCTGGTTCTGAATCGTGTCCAAGCATAAACGTTGAGATACGCAGGGTAACATTGAAATAGCGCGTGCTGCCGAAATGTTTCCACCTTCTTGAACTTGTCGAGGGAGAAACGACACGAGACCACTTTCGATGAACGTTTCAGCCGGCGAACGTACGCACTGCGAGAAACGGACACTGCATCACGGACGTGATATCCGACGACGTCACCGGTTAATGATCGATCGCGTTTTCTCGAGTGTTTCCGAGTGTGAAGCCGCGACGATGTCTGACGATTCTTCTGGCAAACGGTAATTCAATATTTCATCTTAAAGATTTCTGTCGAAATAAATTTCAATTATCGCGGGAGGAATCAGGAACTATGATTCGTCGAAGAAAATTGGTGTTTGTTGCTGATATTTAATTGTTATCAGTAATCGGAAGAGTTAACCGACAATATGATTAATACTGATTAATACTTTGATTTCGGTTGGAACTCTGTTACTTGAAAGATTTTAACAAAAACAATCCTGTTTTCGTATTGTATCTCATGATTTGATCAAATGTGATAAAATGTAATTTTACGTGGAATATCGTCGAGTGAGTTTATACCGTTTCGTGATATTATGAAAGTATCGTCGAGATGTCGTGAACGACATTGCTCGCGGTGCCGGCACTGAACGGAACCGAAAGATCAGAAACACGATGTGAGTTTAACAGAGAAAACACGATGTTTAACGAAATGATATCTTGGAGTGGGAGAAAGTGGGAGCTTTCCATCAGAGCCCGATCAGATTTCTATGGAAACGAAACGAACAAGCAAACGATAGGGGGAGGCAGGAATGGAAATCGGAAAAGAAGGGGGATTGAAACGAAAAAAAAACGGATACCGAGAGTGAAAACGCAGAGGGGATTAACGCAATTTGCGCCTTTAATAAACAAAACTATATATACATATATATTATACATATATATTTAATATATAGCATATAGCGTGAACGTATATATTTAATATATATCTATATATATGTATAAATATATATATATATGTATACATATACATATAAATATATTAATCTCAGCTTGTCACACGCAGAGTTGTCATTATAAAACTATTAATCTTATAATAAATAAAGAACAGATGATGAATTAAATATAATTATACCACGGGAGAAGGATGCGAGGGGATAAAAAAAACAATGATAATATTAACAATAAACATTAGCACTAATAATAATAATTAATAATGGTAACAATAATAATAATAAAATAAATAACACTAATGGTAACGTATTAACTTATTGATTCTCTGCGCCAGTATGTGAAATGTTGAAGTTTTCTTTCTACGACGTTGACAATTCGGTCGGGAGCGAGTCCAAACGACGGGTTCTCGTTCTCCCCGGATCAAATGAATAGTGAAGCGAAGGAAATAAAAGACAAACGATGAATATTACAAGATTAACAAGAATATTAATGATGAAAATAAATCGCATTAAAGATTGATTACGCTAATAGGACCGTAGTAGCGCATATGTACAGGGTGACGTGATGAAAATATATCTGGACATCGATTTGGCCTACGATCTTTCGAGTGTCTTGTTTAATCGAACGCCAACGACGTTGTTTTAGAGCCGGAGAAAAACGCGCGGGAACACGATCGAGAATGTCAAGTCAATTTGCAAACTGTCGCGATGTTCATCGTAGAAAGGGGCCGACGGGTCGGTTATCGTATTATTCCGCGAAACTAGGCATTTCCTTCTTCGGCCGTGCACGATTCAAATTCTTACCGCGCGAACGTAATTAATTCCAAGGTGGTGCGGCATTTTCATGATGCGGACGTGATTTTCCATTTGTCGGGACATTTTACAAGCCTTTGCCTCTTTTGGAACAACCGATTGGCTGATTCTTGATTATTCTTATTCGCGTACAATCGATTGCAACGTTCGTGCAATTTCATAAAAATTGGCTGATCTTGTCTCGAAGGTTTTTATTATTTACGTATACGAACTTTCTTCGACCAGCTGTAACTTTTGTATATTATTGTATATTAATTATTGTATATTAATGCCACGAATCAGATCGTTTGTTTGAACAGTTCGGTTAATCTCAAGAATTCTGACATGAGAATTTGTGGACGTATTTTTGTACCGACGTTCTTCAAGAAACTGTAAAAACTCGATTTTTTCTAAGATTCTCGCTGGACCGCCGCCTTGAAACGCGGAGCTATCCCAGACATCAGAACGAACGGAAATATCCTTCGTGCGACGCCGTTTCGCGTTTCCCAATGAATCGAGGCATTCAGAAATCCTTGAAACGCCGACTTTGCCATAGAAGAAGAACATTGTTCAGAAAGTCGCAAAGGCTTTAGAAACGATCTGCTCGGCCGCGTTTAAATAACTTTAGCGTTATTGCGGAACGGCTGCAGTCGAGCTGCAACGTGCAGGTCGAAAATTATACGAAATATTTCCGGTCGCCGACACCGCGTTCCCGCGAAATCCGTAACACGGGAAGCGGCAATTTGCATTTCGATGAGAAAGAAACCGAACGCGCACTAGGTTATTCAGTTTTCCAATTTGCCTTGTTCCCTCGCCGCTTTGTACTCTCAGCCGCCGGGTTCCCACTATTTTACATATACTTCCGTCTCCACGTTCGATCTTGGACGTCTTCTGCTTAAGAGCGCCGTTCGATTCCATCGTTCGAATAAATATTCTTTTCTATCCCGGAGCGGTACGATTCCTCATCAGTGCGCGAAACATCGGCGTTGCCGATACTCGGCGAGCCCCTTTCGATCGTTCCCCACGGGAACATTCCTTCGTGAGAGAGAAACAAAAAAGATCTGGTCCTCGAGAAACTTTCAGCCCGGGTCTCCTAGCCTTTTACTCGACTCGTATTAATCCAAGCGTTTTAACGATTTATTAAGGTAAACGAACGTAAAAAAAAATCTACAAACAAATGATAACTGGTACAAATAACTAAGATTGCTCACCGAGACACCGCGTCGCGTAAACGTCAAAGACAATCTCCTCGGAAACTCCAAGAATGGCCAAATGGGGCTGACTCTTCTTCTCTCGATGTACGATACTACTACCTCTACTCACAGACAGGCGAGAATATCGATAACCGTTTCTAGGGGACTTAAACGAGACGAACGAAGAATGAACAGAGAAAGAAAAAACCGGACGAAAATGGGGGGGAAAAAAAGAACCGATCGTTGATCGTGCGCCGCACGGCGGCGGTGACCGTGACCGTGATCGTTTAGCCAAGATAAAATGACTCTAGTCGGACGTAATTTATCGCGTAAGGATCTATAATACTTATACATAGCACGTCGAAGTCTTCCGCAGCGTTAGCCTCTCAAGCGTAGCTACGAACACTCGGGAAATGTTGGACACGCGATTATCGCTTTGGTTTTTGGTTTAATGATGGCGTTCTCGCACAGAGTTGAGCAAAAAAAAAATTATGAGGGACAAAGGGATAAGAGACAAAGACTAACGATTACGATTTTATTCGACGTCATCGAATAAATATCCGATCGAATACAAATTTATCTGGATAAAAATTCATCCGGATAAAATTTTATTTTGAGATTTTATTTTATTTTATATGAATTCATTTGAATAAGATTCTTATTCGTACAGAAAATCATACGGTTCGAATAAAAATGATACAGAATATCAGATTTATTCTTCTTAGTTTATTAATTTATTTCTTCCATATTCCTTCTTTGCAACTGTCGCATCGGAAAGTTTGTTACTTTTTGGTAGGTTGGTCTAAACAATCTTTGGATATCGTTGGATAAATAATCTTTCTATGGTTGCAGAGGGTGGCATCGGCAATATTATGATTTTATAAGCAATTGAAATTCAATTGATCCTGAATGTATTCGTATGAATATATTCTTATAAAATTGAAACAAAAACGGTCAAAATTTATTCGCATTATTATTCGAGTAATTTTACGATATCTATTCGAACGACTATCTATTCGAATAAAGAATTAGGCGAATAATTTATCCGAATCTTTATTCGAATTAATTCGGAATAATTCTTGAATTATTTCAATAAATATATAGAAAGAATAATTTGTGACGAATAATAAGTAATCGTTATTCGAATGAAATATTTGAGTAAAAAGAATTTATCTTGGATAAGTACTTCTTCGAAATAATTCGTATAATGCCCAACTCTGTTCCAACACGATTTCGCCTCTTTACACGAGCACCGGATCTCGCGACCGATCACGAATCGTGGCCGATTCTTTGGAAGATCGACAAATGGTGTTCAGGATCTTATAGAGATTCACTGATATTGACCTCGCTATATCCCACACACATTTTGCATCGACTACCTTGGGCTTGTTCCGAAAATTCCATTGCCCTCACGTGTATTATCCCAGGATTTATTGTACACGGTGTCCAAATCGACAGCTGAAGAGTTAAATGAGCAAAAATTATAATAGATTTTTTAATCCTGAATGTTTTGGTTTTATTAATTAAATTACTTCAATCTTCAGAAATCTTTCAGTAAGATGCTTCGACAGTCAACGTTGTTAGTTCTTTCGTTCTCGTTTCCCTTCATTCATGTTTTTAACTGTTTCAATACATTAAAATAGCTCTTTTTATTAACACTAGAACCGTTAGACTGATTTTTAGTTTTTAAATTATACTGAAATTGTATAAATATTTCCAGAGCACATTTGTGGACAATTTCTTTTGTAATGTATTCTGGTGGACTGTTTGCCAATTACCTTCATAATATTTTTTGACAGATTGTTTCACATTTGTTTAAGTTATATTGTAATAGAAATCGTACAAAGTTCGTAAATTAAGGATTGGTATCTATATCAGAATTTACTGTGCCGGATACTTGATATTTAAGAAAATAAGTTCAAACGTAGAGTGATATCTTTCATATTCCTCTTTAGTATCCTGAATTTTACTATTATGTTAACCGTCGCTCTTTTCGTCGCAAACATAAATGCTGACTTACTAAATTGGCTCACACATTCTCTCTTATATAAGGCCTTCAATGAAACGACATTAATTTACACTACCAACTTATTTTCATATGATCGAACACCCTTTGATGTCTACCATAGGACACCCTGTATATTAAATCCCGCAAGACGAAGCCCGGGTTCACTTTGACGCAGCTTTTCTAGGATCACATTCAACACTAGATCTACCAATCAGTCGGAGTTATTAAATTCAACTTTATTATATACTTTTATCGTAACTTACCCGAAAAAAAATTCATAAATCAAAAATCTTTTTCTCTTTATAATGACTGTAAAATTAGAAATTTGATCTCTGGTACTTCTAGTGTTCTCGTCGCCATCTTCGGCTATCATCGAGAGACTATATCGAATATAAAATAAAATAATAAATGATTCGAAAATGAATCTAGAAAAACTGCGAATCGGAGACTAGAATGAACCCCGGACGTCGTCGTCAGTTCGAACGAATCCGAATGGAAACCAACTAATTTGCATAGCAGACGTTGTACTTTAGCTGATCGTAGCTGAAACGTAGACCGTGACGAAACGGTTAATCAAAGGCTCCGGCGAAAGACTGACCGAACACCTCGAAGGCTCGCGTTAGAAGCGAAACTGTGACAGCACTGTGATCGATGGAAAATCAAAATCGTTGAGTTACACAAGTCGAGTGCTTACGGGTTTAAAAGACGGCGATAAAACACGAATCTAGCCAGGAATCGTTTAGGCGAATTTGTCGTTCGAAGAGATCGAAGGGAGCGTGGAGACATCTCGAAGCGAGAAGACGAGCCGCGCGCTCCCGGAAATTTTTAAACCGTTTCTCGTGTGAATTGAGAACTTAGGGCGCGTTGCACGAAGATACTCGAAAGATCGATCCTTGTCCGATTTTATTAGACCGTACTTTATACGAGGGAAGTATACGCGGGCCAGCCGAAATCGTACGGAACGAGGGGGACAGCATTCTCGGTGGTCCTGAAACTGAAAGGCGATTTCGATCGACGAAATCGTTTTCCACGTGGGTGGGCACGTTTTGCAACGAGAGACGGCCGATCGAGGTGTCCAGAGAGGGATCCAAAAACATTGGAGTGGAACGTGTCTTCCAACTTAACAGATTGTTTACATCTCGTTCTCTCTTGAACTTTAAGTGTTCCCAACGATCGGAAACATTTATCCTTCGACTATATATTTCGTTGATGCATGAGAGTACATTTAATTTATTCAGGAATTGCCTTTTGTAAATATAGGATTTTATATTAATGTACAAATATTACTTTATGTGTAATATTAAATATTATTCAAATATTTTGTGTATAAGTTACTCGGTTCTACGGATGCTACCTGATTGCGAACTTTGGTAACTTTGACGTCGCTGTCGATTTATTTTCACTCTGTGCTCGTTGTAATTCCTGATTTCCGCGGTTCGAGATTCTTCACGTTTGTTATTACGATTTTTGTCGACCGTCTTCGGACCGTGTTGTTCGACTCCCAATGAGACCCAGATCGAAGCTTTCGGAATAATGTTTCGTTTCGCCGTTTCGGCCGTGCCACGCGTATATACCCGTTACTATAATATACACGTTATTACGCATATACGTACATATATTATATATAGATACGTATGCGAGGACATTGCATAATACCGACGACACGTAGCGTATAGAGAAATAATAAAAATATGAGAGCGAAAGGATGGAGGACGAAGAGGACTCGCCACTCGCGGTCCACCCGCGCTATACTCATTGTCAGCGTAACAATAATCCGTGCCGACTATTCGCGGTGTATTTTCACGCTTGAACATGTCGTTCGATAGTTACGACGCCGAGAATCGTCAATCGTTTCTCTCTCTCTCTTTCTCTCCGATTCTTATTCTCACGAAACGCGGACGACGCGGTGCGGGATGTTAACAGACGTTATGCTGCGTGTCCATCACGGGATTTCGCTAAAAGTTTACACCTTGTATCAGACAGATACGCCATGTCGCTAAAAACTGGTTCACACGCGTCCAGTAATTTAGTCTAGTGACGAGTAGCTATAGTCCCTGCGCGAGAAGAAGGCACCTTTCTGTTTACATTCCCCCCTCTAATTAGCTGCTCCATTGCTGCAGCTAGTAAGAGGGGGGAACGTAAAGACGAAGGCGCCTTCTTTTCGCGTGAGGACTATACTTACTACTAAACGATTTAGTACATAAGAACGTGTCCGGATATAAAGTGTATCCTTTTCGTTTCAACGTGACATCTTGTGTCCATTTGTTACATTAGTTACCAGTGAGTAGCAGGGGAAGCCTTCTTGATCAGAAAAATCCACTGAAATGGATCTACTCGACTAAATTGTTTTACTAAATTGCTCGACTGAAATGTTATGTCCATACACAGTGAACTAAACTACTCGCCGCTCGACTAAATCACTGGACCTGGTTAAGCCAGCCCTAACTGTTCACTCTAATTCTCGTCGAAAGAGTCAATTTTCATATATGCTCTCTTTTCATTTACTGTCTTCAAGGAACATAAGATGCAATAGATTCGATGTCTTCATGTTCAATTGACAGCTTTTGCAAGAACTGTCGTACTAATGTACGTTCACGTTTCTGGAGGACGTTGAACGATTTTCGATTACGCTGCGTCTTCATTCAAAATTCTAAAGAACACAGGTTCCAGAAGCTATTATTTAACAGTTTTCATGGAAACTGCTCATGAAGCTGATTGGAGAATCAATTTTCGATTATGTTTTAATAAGGATTTTCCTGACAGTCTCCAGACTGTTTGTGATCACTTAACAGCTTTTACAGAACTGTTAAAATCTATAGTGACCATAGACACAATTTGCACTGTTCAAAGTCTTGGAAACATCTAACAAACACAGTCTGGGTCTGTGAATGTTCAGTAGCGTGAACAACTGAGAATCTCGGTGAAAATCTCCGGCGAATATAAGTAGAAGAGCAATACTGTTTGATAATTCGTGCCGCGAGTTAACACGAGAATTTTAGCCGAAATTTCTGATGAACATATATGCTCTAGCTCAGCTGCGTGTTTATTCGAGATTACCGCTAAAAGTCTCTAGCAGCTGTCCCATAGTTTATGCAACGTGTTGGCTTGGGTGTTTTATGGGGAACTTTTAATGAACATAAATTGGAGAGCAAATTCTCCGAAGCTGATGCTGCTGTGTTCACTTGAGTGTCTCGTTGGGAACTTCTAACGAACATAAATTTGAGAGCAAACTGTACGGTGGGCTGCGTGTCAACTGGATGGTTGATCTCGCGATATTAATCGCGGTCGAGAATGAACTTCTGTATTTAAGGGAGATTTTAGAGCTATCTCCACCTCAGATTCCCTCGCGTTTGCTCTGAAATTGACAGACGCCAGAGAGTTTCTTTCGAAGTCTCGCGTGGATACGTAATTGACGGCTGTCATTTGTAGATCGAGTCTAATCTCGGGAGTAAAACTCGCTCGAATTCCGTGTGGACACGTAGACGTTCTAACGTCGACTAGCGCACTTCCGGGATGTTGGGTGCACCGCGTCGATTATCCGTGCAATTGATTAATCCTTCATCGTAGCGACAGTCACGCTAACAAGACGGGGAAATGGTGCGAGGGGATATTTCGAAACGAAACGGAGTATTGCGAGACACTGCCGTGGATTTTCAAGGCGACGTGAATTCGGGATTAGAATAAACGATTAGCGGACACGCAGCGTTCAAGTGCCAAATTTTTAGCGATCTTAGAAACGTAATTTATCGAGCCCGAGACCGAGCAGACGCTTAATTAGTGGACAGAGGGGTAGCTAGCCCTCGAAAGGCGCAGATTTGGTTCTTTTCAATCTGGACTCAGTTTTCGAGATTTCTTTTCGGTTAGCGGGTTTCTTGTTCTTGAAAAAAAGCTCTCTTTGTTGTTTGAAAAATGTTCATCTACGAAAATATTTGACAATAGAACAAACAACATTCTACAGAAAATGTTTATTTATAAAAGCAATGGAAGACAGCACTGGTGAGACTTTATATTTGTGCGAAATATTAAAAATATTGTATTATAATTTATTTGCCAATCATTTTATTAGTGATTATTTCATTAACAACTTTATTTGTTGCTTTTCATACTATTACATTTCGTACGTCTTTCAGTATACTTTTCTAAGATAAATGTGCAAATAGTAAAGTTGTTTAAGAGGTATATTCTGGTGTGACAAGTGCTTTTTCAGTCACTTTTGCAAATTTTGTATAAAGATTCAATATACAAGTTATTATTGGCACTACACATATTTTTATTAGAAAGTAATTCAATTTGGTAAAAGCACAACACGTCGAAGTCAAGATTGGGAAATAAATATGTGGAAAATAGAATTTAAAATATAGCAACTACTAGAACAAAAGGAAAAGTTCACAATTAAAAAAATGGTGACACTTTAAAATTTGATTACAGATTTTTCCTGATTTATCAATATTGACTTGCTAAATAAATGAAAAAAAAATAAACACTTTGAGTCGGTTCAAGTACGAGCCGAAGACATGGCATACCGAATGTGCACCAAAATTTTGAAGACAATTGGTCAAGTGCTATAATTTTGTTAATCTTAACAATTCAGGTTTTGTTGATGTACTTTAGAACCCATATACTTTAAGAAAATTAAAAAAAAATCCCCCTTAAATGCAACATAAATTTCTCCTGCCTTGAATTAAACGAAAAGTTGTATTCGCTTGAATCGAAACTTCGTTCGTTCATCTATTAAAAATTCCTAACGCGATAGATCTAGAAAGCTAGTTCAGAGTCGATTGTCGAATTTAGCGAAATGCAGAACTGAACCGAGAAAAGACCTAGTCTTCGCCGTTGAGGGTCGATGCTGGCTCGCGACGACTGAGAACGAATGATTAGTACATTAGACGAAGCTGTAATGTGATTCGTCCTAAGAATTAAGGCGGTTGACGGTCGCGTACGGTCGACGTGACGCGCGTAGACGTTGTGATAGTTGCGTATCGTTTTCGTACGCGTTTTACGTGTAGTCGCAGGGTCGCAGGACGCGCTGCAGTTGATTCGAAGGGTTTCCGAGCGGTTGCCAATGAAACGTTCTCTATTTTCCGATATTTTTCTAGGGGATGAGAAATATTGACGGTAGTTCGTTATTTCGGTTCGTTTTTTCGTTCGACGTCTCTGCGCGCGCGAACCGAGGTCAAAGAGCCACGGAAACCTGCGGAAACTATATTTTGCCGAATTCGCAACAATTTGCCGGCGCAAACGGGAGGCGTCGACAGCGTTTGGTAAAAGAGCCGCGTGACTTTGTGCGGCTGTCAAGCGGGAACGCGAGGCAACGGTTTCATTGGTAATTAAACAGGGGGTGATTTCGGTCCTCGTTAGCGGACGGACGCTTGTCGGAACACATTCGTTTTAGGACGACGCGTAGAGTCGTCCCCGTTGCAAGCAATACGAATAAACATTTTCCAATTGGATATGTAATAACGGGAACATTCACGGAATAAACCCTTTCAACGGATACTTGTTGTTACACTTTGAAGTATGCCGAGAGCGTTTCTACTTTTGTCGTAGGGTATTTTGTCGTTTAACGAGTGTCGTCGAATTCTGTCGCTGGAGCGACCGAAAAAGACGAACTCGCGGAACGAGTAGTACTATTATTGTGCGATCGTGTGTACGTTCATTCGCGAATTACATTCTTTCGTGAAGTTTCAAGAGTTTCCTGCTAGAACTTACCGCTTCTTTACGAGCCTTCGTTTCGACACGAGAAACCGCAACACTTCGTTGACTTTGATCCGATAATTGTACCCGAAACGTTCGAGATAAGCTTGTTTTCTGGACGGTACTAAGCTCAATGAATGCGTCATGGTGGATATTGGAAACTCATGAACTCTTGGATGAAGAACGATCATCATCGTCGGATGAATAGAAATAAATTCGTTCGTGTAAGAAAGAAATGACAATTTAGGATAGACTTTTGCAATACGTGTTAGTAGAAGATTAGAGTAACGAGAACGGTTGATTTTCTTGTAATCGTGACGAGGGGGCGCGAAGGGTTCTTCGAACGTCCCCTGTCGCAGCTAGAATATTAAGAGTGATATAATTATAAGACTGCGGGGCTTTGTGCGTTCAGAGCGAGTGAACGTTTGGAGACAGTTGGACAATGGAAAAATACAACCGAATCAAAAGCTGTACGATTTCCCTTTCAATTCACCCAACCACCCGCGAGAGGACAAGCTGGGGTAGTGGGACCAGTTACTGCGGGATGTCCAATTGCTGGGACTTTGATTTGTTTTCGAGCGTAATTAATTTTTTTTATTCAAGTATTAACAATCTAAAATACTATAAAATTTTCGTACGTTTTTTTGGATAAATATAAATTTGATTAAAGACATGTTCACCCATCAAGGACGATATCTGTGCAGCGTTCGGACCTTTCGTGTCGTGCTTGTATGTATGGATAATTTTTATAATTCTCCATAAAATACTCAAAACAAATGGGACACATTTTGTAAAGATTTTCCGGGCAGATACCGCAGTGCTTAAAAAATATAAAACTAAAAAGAGGAGAAATAATTTCAGACGATGGTCGGTTTTTGTTATAATCGTCGGTAAAAAAACACGAATCGTGCGTCGTCTTGGCGGGCCAATGAAATGACATACTAAATGTTTTTATTGAAAAATGAACAAAGTCAAAGAATACAAAAATTTTTGTATGCTTTCATTTTGTTTATATTCTAGCAAAAACATTTAATACGTCTTTTTTTCGATACACGTTGCTAAAAGCAAATCCAAGACATTTGGTCATGCCACAGTAACCGGCCCCACCAACCTCACTCATTCGATTCCCGTGCCTCCGAATTCGCATGAAGCTCCGCAGTCCGCGTTGCAACTCGATTGATTTGTCCTTCGAAGAGAACTTGTTCCAGCCAGACGATTCGAATTATTTTTCGCGGTGTTCTGTTCGAGGAATTCCCATCTGTACATGAAACTAACGAATTTTTACGAGTGCGTGAATCCGTCAGGGTAACTTCAATTGCCCTCAGGGGACATGGAGACGGAGATTCTCGTCGAATCGTTGCTGGGTAGATTGCTCGTAGAATTCCTCGAGGTGTAAAAGTAATCGTAGCGGGAGTAATAAGGGAGGACAACGTGTCACAGCGAACCGAATTTAACAAGGATTTTTATCGGATGCGAATCACAGGCGAGAAATGGAAAAACAATCGTATCGAATGACTTCTGACCGCGCTAACTCAGATTCCCTTCGTCTTAAAGAACGAAACCCTTTCCGCTAGACGCTCTTTGTCAAACGATTCACCGAGGAACCCGAGATTAACTTGAACGGCGAGGAAGCAAAATAGCTGAATAGGAACGTCCGCGCTATGCGTGCTCTAATAATCATACTTGAAGAAAAAGGGACGCGTGCGTGACAAGACCTAAACTCGAAAGGGGGTAAAGAATAGACCGGGAGCGCGAGGAAGAACGAAACTATTAAACGTGTACCGCTAAACATAATCTATACATATTTAAAACTATCGAATGCTAAAGTCATATTCGTAATACCACAGCAAACGGGAGAATAAATAAACTAAACTAAAGGAATGAATAATCGATTAACCGAATATTAAACGCTAGTCTGTAATCGATAGTCACGTAGTTATAACTTCGAGCAGTATCTATAGGGATGATTCAGAGGTAGTCTATTAGAGATTAGGGTCGCAATCGAGATGATTTTCTCTACGAAACTCTAATGAAAGGAAGCTAATAACTAATTATCTCCAGAGTAACCTATTGAACTTAACGAAGCCGCGTATGCGTGACACGTGAACACGTCGACGTGAACGGAAGACCGGAGGGGTAGAGGGAACGAGGTGTAGAGCAGAATGGTTTTTCTCAGATGGCGAGCCTGAGGAAACGACAGAGAGACGAGATGGAAAATAACAAATTTGCACGAATCTCTTTCTTCTCTACCTAATCCCCTTTCTTCCCTGCTATATATTTTAACGAACAATTGTCTCTTGTTGTCCACCGTTACACCAGACGTCGAAGTCGTTACCAAACCGAATAATCCTGTGCGAGAATAGAACGAAGAGTAAATCGAAAAATTACGAGAGTGATAGCTAGCGAGAAAGAACGAGCGAGAGGGAGGGAAAGAAAGGGAGAATGAACGCGACGAGTGAGAGCAAGAAAGCGTGTGAGAGAGAAAGGGAGAGAGAGAGAACGAGAGAAAGAGAGAAAGAAGAGATATAATCTTTGCGTTACCTTGCAAATTATAGAAGGAAAAAAAAAGAAAACTGATGGAAAATAAAATATTGAAAAAGATACTCCCTTTTCCGTAGACCCTGGTGGGACGATGCAATTGAACTGACTCACCCTCGATCTCACTTGATTTTTAATTATGCCTCGACAACAGCCTGGCCTGATATTAGTAAATTCATATTGAAGAACGTTAAATAAGGTAATAATTATTATTATTATAATAATAATATTAATGGTATATATATATAAATATATATATATATATATATAATATTAAGAGTAAGAATAATAATAAATTTGTTATATTTCTACGCTAGGCTCTTTTTCGAGGCAGAAACGTTGATCGATATGAAAATCCCTGTTAACTGGTGAGCACATAATCGCCGCATTGTAATATTATTAACATTATTACGTTATTATGAAATTGTTGAAATAAATGAAATGAAAATAAACGTCTTCCATTTCCTCCTTCTTCACTTTCATTGCCGACCACGTGCGTGACTGGTAAGACAATTATTTCACACGCTTACTATCATGCTTTACTGTTCTTTGCTTATGTTAATTACTTNTGGAGACGGAGATTCTCGTCGAATCGTTGCTGGGTAGATTGCTCGTAGAATTCCTCGAGGTGTAAAAGTAATCGTAGCGGGAGTAATAAGGGAGGACAACGTGTCACAGCGAACCGAATTTAACAAGGATTTTTATCGGATGCGAATCACAGGCGAGAAATGGAAAAACAATCGTATCGAATGACTTCTGACCGCGCTAACTCAGATTCCCTTCGTCTTAAAGAACGAAACCCTTTCCGCTAGACGCTCTTTGTCAAACGATTCACCGAGGAACCCGAGATTAACTTGAACGGCGAGGAAGCAAAATAGCTGAATAGGAACGTCCGCGCTATGCGTGCTCTAATAATCATACTTGAAGAAAAAGGGACGCGTGCGTGACAAGACCTAAACTCGAAAGGGGGTAAAGAATAGACCGGGAGCGCGAGGAAGAACGAAACTATTAAACGTGTACCGCTAAACATAATCTATACATATTTAAAACTATCGAATGCTAAAGTCATATTCGTAATACCACAGCAAACGGGAGAATAAATAAACTAAACTAAAGGAATGAATAATCGATTAACCGAATATTAAACGCTAGTCTGTAATCGATAGTCACGTAGTTATAACTTCGAGCAGTATCTATAGGGATGATTCAGAGGTAGTCTATTAGAGATTAGGGTCGCAATCGAGATGATTTTCTCTACGAAACTCTAATGAAAGGAAGCTAATAACTAATTATCTCCAGAGTAACCTATTGAACTTAACGAAGCCGCGTATGCGTGACACGTGAACACGTCGACGTGAACGGAAGACCGGAGGGGTAGAGGGAACGAGGTGTAGAGCAGAATGGTTTTTCTCAGATGGCGAGCCTGAGGAAACGACAGAGAGACGAGATGGAAAATAACAAATTTGCACGAATCTCTTTCTTCTCTACCTAATCCCCTTTCTTCCCTGCTATATATTTTAACGAACAATTGTCTCTTGTTGTCCACCGTTACACCAGACGTCGAAGTCGTTACCAAACCGAATAATCCTGTGCGAGAATAGAACGAAGAGTAAATCGAAAAATTACGAGAGTGATAGCTAGCGAGAAAGAACGAGCGAGAGGGAGGGAAAGAAAGGGAGAATGAACGCGACGAGTGAGAGCAAGAAAGCGTGTGAGAGAGAAAGGGAGAGAGAGAGAACGAGAGAAAGAGAGAAAGAAGAGATATAATCTTTGCGTTACCTTGCAAATTATAGAAGGAAAAAAAAAGAAAACTGATGGAAAATAAAATATTGAAAAAGATACTCCCTTTTCCGTAGACCCTGGTGGGACGATGCAATTGAACTGACTCACCCTCGATCTCACTTGATTTTTAATTATGCCTCGACAACAGCCTGGCCTGATATTAGTAAATTCATATTGAAGAACGTTAAATAAGGTAATAATTATTATTATTATAATAATAATATTAATGGTATATATATATAAATATATATATATATATATATAATATTAAGAGTAAGAATAATAATAAATTTGTTATATTTCTACGCTAGGCTCTTTTTCGAGGCAGAAACGTTGATCGATATGAAAATCCCTGTTAACTGGTGAGCACATAATCGCCGCATTGTAATATTATTAACATTATTACGTTATTATGAAATTGTTGAAATAAATGAAATGAAAATAAACGTCTTCCATTTCCTCCTTCTTCACTTTCATTGCCGACCACGTGCGTGACTGGTAAGACAATTATTTCACACGCTTACTATCATGCTTTACTGTTCTTTGCTTATNTTATGTTAATTACTTTATTATTTAATTATTTTTAAACACTTTATTATTTTTAAACGTGACAGCTGTATCTGTTTGTAATGTTATTACGACGCATTTGTTTTTCTTTTAATAGTTACTAATTTTATATTTAAATATTATCGCATAATAATAGGTAGACTGTGAATCTTTATGCAAAATAAAAATTCTTTACCTTGAATGCAACAAATAGGAGCGAAACAAAAATTTATTTCCATTCTTAACATTTATAGTCAGTTAAAAATAATCAAAGCATTGCACAATTTATCTTTTGCATTTATTGTTTTGTATTCTACGTACTCATTTCTCTTATAGATGCATAAAATTCGCAGTCTACTAATAAGAAAACTTTATATTTTCCAGTCTGAGCAATCATTATGAACTAAAAACGCACAGTTAATAAACTGTGCTTAAAGTTAAGTTAATAAACTGTGATTCCCATGGATAATTTTCGAAGAACCAGAACCAAGCAAATAATTGTTTAGTCGTCGTAAATTGTAAAAATACAAAAGTTACATGGTTTCGAAGGAGCCAGATGACAGCATACGAACTTTTGTTTTTAACAATTTTCATAAAATGCACAATTTAAAAGTTATTCGAAGTGTCTAAGTTGCGTGACCCTTCCAGTATAATATTTGTTATAATATTATTATTATATATATTACATATGTTATTATATTATTATCTGTTATAAACTTCTTTTCATATCCTGTTGGAATGATTAACGATGGATCACAATGGGAAAGGTTAAAATCACAGAAAGTACTTACTTCGTTTAATAATCTTTATTTCCTTGTAAAAAGAACTACCTAACGATCTATCTTAAAATTACGTCTACCAATGGAAAATCAATGTCTTGCATGAACATAGTCGCGGCGTTTCTCATGCATATAATAGAGTACAAACTTCCGGCTCAACAATATTTCTTTTCCTCCTCGTTTTTGTACATACAAAGTAAAGGTAAATTAATGTACACTCGCTGACACGATCATCCTTTTCTCTAGTAGACAAGAGATTCAACCGTAATTCAGAAGGGATCGGTTGGGTTACATAATTGAAATATTTATTGAGAGTACCGTCGGAAACGAAAGATTTCATATTGAGGACAGTAATAGAACGATCGTAATTTCTTGAAAATATTTCAGAAAATCAACAAATGTGCTCGCTCACGGAAAACAATGTCCTTGCCAAATGAAAAGAGCCACCGATACTGATGAACGTTCGACGCACAAGTAAAAATGAATGAATAAACGAATTACTTTTCTGGCACCTTGAATATATAATTCAGCACAATTTATTGTCTACATAAAACTATTTCAACACACTTCTTACTATTCTAACAATTTATATTTACGTTTATTATAACATTCTTCGATAAAATTTCAGAAATATTGTTCTCCCGCATTGAACAGAAAAAGAAACAAAACAAAACAGAATGAACATTAAATGAAATCGCACGAAACGAATGAAAATGTTTCCTCCGCTCTGCTGAGTAGTTTAACGAGCGACGAGAGTGTCTTAATCTCGACGTTTGGTTTCAATGGTGCAGAATTTACGGAATTTGTTTATTATCAAGTGGAAGAAACGAGTAAAATTGTTTACGGACTAGTGCTGTTCACGCTTTATCGACGATGCACATTTGTGCGATGAATTTCAACACGTTCCGCTGATTGTTGCAACGCTAATAGAATAATTCGATTTATTTTATTTCAACGTTAATCCCGAACAGTTACCTTTACAGCTAAAATGGAACAACGTTTCATTAACTGCATCTGAGAATCGATAAGAGAATTTTTACACAAATCATCCAGACAGGTAGGCGAACACGTACACCGATAGCCGATCTGCAAAGAACTTCGAGAACTCATTGAGACTTCGCTGATTCGTAGTAATAATTCCGAAGAGAGAAACATATTTCGTCTAACAATAATCGATCCAACAAGTGCTTAAATGTTAACCACTAAATAAATGTTAACCCCAGAATTCTAATATCCTTACGGCCGCATTTATTATCGTTAGTTTTAACAATTATAAATGTATGTATCCTTAATAATTATTACACTTTTTAAAATCTAATTAACTGTTATTATATTTGACATCGATGCCAAGGAGAAGTTTAAAATACGTAGTAAACGTAAAAATTACGTACATTAGTATTCTAGGGTTAATTGAAGATGCCAGCAACGACGGCTACAGAATTTACCAATCGTCGAACTTGTGCCAAACGATTAGCATTACCTTCCCGATCATTATTCTTATCAGATAAACGATATTGAAATCACTGCTGAGAGACTAAGTTTCTGTTACTTGTTAACCATTTCTCTGCGCAGTTTCTTGTATCCTTACAAATTTTTGGATTTCGCAATTGTTACTAGACTGCGGACGTTACGCACTCATAACAAAAACGAGTTGATCGAACACAAAGCAGTGAGAATATTTAAGAAATTTAAAAATACTGTTGAACTGTTTTCAACTTATTAAAATGAACAAAAAACGAACGAAATATCTATGCAGCCCCTAATTAGCGCAGACAATTTTTATTCCTATACAAAAGTCCGCAGTCTAAAATAATTGCTTGAAAATTTCAACGAGCGATAAAATTCTCATAGAGAAGGGAAACGTTTCAAATAATTTGCTCCGTTGTCGAAGAAAGTTTTTTCAGAATTTAACGTCAAGAAACACGGTTCTCTGCGACGTCGCGATGATGGTAGCCAATTCGTGTAACACGACAGCTGGCATCTTCAATCGCACTTGAGCTGTAAGATGCGCGTAAAATCGTCTCATCGTGATTCTCATACACAATCATTCCTCCCATTCTCGAGTGAACAACGCTATAAAATATATAGAAGTAAAATGTATAGAAATGAATAAGCATCACCTAGTTACTCCACTCTCGGGGGACTAAATTCTAGTTATTGTATCTTGTTCAAGGAAGACACGTGTCGCTCTATCAAGGAGTGAATTCGTCGCTCTGATCGCGAACGTTGGTGTTGTTTGATCGTGAACGATCGTCGTGTATATGTGTGTGCATGTGTGTACGTGTGTGTGTGTGTATGTTGCCGCGCACGCGACAGAGAACAACGAATCGCAAAGGTCCGACGAGTATCATAAAAAACCATTGGCTTTCCTTCGTAATGTTCACACATCAGATCGATAGTTTTCGTTTACGCTTGTTTTTCATGTTTTTCATTTATGCCAGAATTTTCGCGTCGACATTACAATTGAACATTCGTGAACGTCCGGTTCGTCGTTCGGACTCGGTTCGGGGGTTTTCGTTTTACAAATTCATGTTCTCGAGTATAAAATTATCAAAACGACATGCAATTACCTGGGAATGATTCGTTCGAGTCTTCGACGTAAAATGAATAACCTCGCGGTTCTTTCTTTTTTCTTTTTCTCTGTTTCTTTGGAAATTTGCCACGTTTTCTCTCGACCGTGATGGTGATTCCCGTGATCGACAAAAATGATAATACGTTTTTCCGTTCTTTCCTCATTTTGGTTTACGTTCGTAATATATACAATGCAACATCACTCGTAACAACGGGCTTGACTCACGAGGCACAACTGTAGGCAATCGGTACGAAAAAATCAACGATCTTTATAACGAGCAACCGTAAACATTCTTCGCAAGTGGAGAAAACCTATTTTCTATTAGAGAAAACATGACCGTTTAACAATCATCTGCGCATTATGCATGTAGTGTGTGAATATGATATTTTTCCGTATATTGGTATACGATACATTTTACTTTAATCATCTCATTTATAACGATTAAGAACGCAGGGCCGTGACATTGTACTTCTAATGTGCGTTTTCGTATCAGCAAATCTTCCACGAAATTTCGTTCGAATTTCTCGCCGTCGGAAATATCATGGGGGAAGCGTAAAGAAGAGATACATTCGAAACCGCGATGGACGAAGGCCAAAAACTCTGACCTTACGCAAAAGGAAGGAAGTGCTAACAAGCTTTAACGACGAATCTGAAAACGGTTTAACAATCTGAAAATGATTTAACAATCTGAGAATGATTTGACAATCTGAAAGTGATTCGACAATCTTCGAAATTTCAGATCATTTCTATGTTAACCCTCGATCAAGTGCAATCATAACAAATGATGTTAATATTATAATATATAATAATATAATATTTTAAACCAGAATGATAATTCAATGAAATCAAATTTGAAACAGTACCAGTTTCAAACTTGAATTTTTCAGCATCTCTGATTGCATCTCGCCGAAGGTTAACATAGTCTAGCGTACGGATAAATAAATCATTAAATGACGTTTATCGAATAACTTGAAACATTGAATCTATGGAGAAGATGCAGTGATAACGCTTGTAAACGACGCAATCTTTATCTCTAAATCCATCATACACTCCCTTAAAACGTACATCGTCTCTCCGTACATAAGATCGACGAATTATAATCACATACTTCAAATTACAATAGAAGCATAAAGTAACACAACATTTTATTTAGCCGACAATTTCGAGAGAAGCGTATGAAGGATAAGAAAAGCAGCGCAAGATCGTAAGTCATTTACCAAAAGAAAAATGCGTCATGTTGCATCCATCGAAGACGTAAAACTATTCGGTTTGTAGACATATCGTGATGCTTTGTAGTTGCGAAATACTTAGCGTTAGATGAGAAAATTGCTTTGAACTTATTTTTCGATGGTTTATCGTCTAGACGAGACTGTCTGGTTATGACGTATCTTTGCAAACGTTTTCGAAACCAATCCCGACGATACAGCAAAAACAGTCGAAAGGTTGCAATGCGTCTGTCAGTCGGCGAATGGATTCATCACGGCTCCCCGCGGCGTTGGATCGGGACGGGTTTCTCTCGAAACCACGATACCCGCTAGATTACAATAATGGCAACGGTAATTCGCACGATTAATATCAAAATTATTTGATATCTACGTTCTATGTTTATCCGGTTCCCGATATTACCCAAGTTACTCATCTAGAACAGGCGATCAATGGACATTGATTTAACGGTGACTTCCTAAGTGACTCTTTTTTACCTTTTTCTCTTCGTTTTCGGATTCAGCGTTGCGTTGAAAGGTGCCAGATTCGGCTGGATGCGGGGAAAGTATGCTGGAAAGGGAACTTTAACCCTCTTAAAACTGCCGAGCAAAAGAGCCGCGTGTACCTGAGCGAAATATACCAAACTTGTTTGATGCAGTTCGAAAAAGCTCCGGAAAGAAATTGTAACAATTTTGTAAAGCCTGATAATTAGAAATAAAATTAGAAATAAGAAATGTTGTGCATTCAAAATATCAAGAAAGCAACATTTTCTTAAGTGTAGCCAAAAAGGGTTAAGAGGAAGCGTCGAGACTCGCTGAAGCATCTGGCACATTTCACCCGCAACCCAGTTCGGATTTGATCCGCGTCCGTTTCAGCATGCTTGCGGCAAAGGTTCCGAAGGAAGACAATTAATCGTGGAGGCAGCCATGATTAATTCTAACAATATAAGACGTCGCCGGCCGAAGTCTACCATGCTTCGTCGACGACCGACATCAAGTCAAACACAACAATTGTCGTTAGAAACGATTGGAGATCACGGAACCGCGTGTACACGTTTGGAGAACGTTAGTTTCGGAGAATCTCGGGGACCACGAAAGCGTTTACGTATTTGGGGAACCCTTTAATTTCGGCAAACTTGGATCGTCACGCAACGAAACGGAATTCAAATGGATTCGATATTATTAGCAGTACTCTAACGCTTAGTTTAATTAATTTAAGTGGTACGTTACTATGCAACGAGTGCCATTGAGCTTTTTGTTTCTTCACGAATTCAGAAGTTGCGATGATCCAGCGACGTTGATAGTCGTTCACGAGTATAAAACGAAGAAACGATCGATTGTTAGAAATGATCGACCCGGATGCCTGAGCGTTTCGTATACGCCGGCCACGTCGTGGCGTTATCGACTCGCGGTTGAAGTTATGCGTGTGTTAGACGGAAGAAGAAGACGGTAGTCGTATAATGCCAGGAACGAAGTAAAATCGGCTGTTGAATTCGGTGCGCGATTAATCATCGAGGCCGCGTGCCGCGATTTCATCAATGGCTCGATAATTTCTGAATCGTTTTGGAAAAAGACGCGAATGAATCTCTGTAACGTTACATCGCACGGTTCGATGTCAAACCGAGTTCTCGACTGTACCGTAAAATAAGTCTCCGCGTGTAACCGTATGAAAAGAATCCGATCGGGTTACAGATCGTGACGGTGTCTCAAAGAAATTGTTGCGGGGATGGCACGCAATTTATAATTTGCTAAATTCCGTGGAAATTACTTTCCACGATAGATCTCTATAATGTGATCCTGGTCCACGTACTCGAATATATGCGGCGCGTCCATCAGGATCCCGACGGTTCCTGCGGTTGTTACGATGAAGAAGATGTACAGCTGTAGTCGGTCAATTACCATCGCCACGTATTTCCAATCTTCCCTTGTCTGCGAACAGCAAGCAAATTCTCATTGAATAATGTCTTCTGGCGTTCGTCGATTATTGCGGACCACGCTTACTTTATTTGCGGTAAAAGATTTCTCAAGATTATCATCAGTTTTTGAAATCGATTGGCGTATTTCGACTACTGAAAACATAAACTGAAACATCTAGGTTGACCTCCGAATGTTGCATCACACAAAATGCAATACCATGAACAAATAAACAAAAATGTTTAACATTTACGTAATAAACTGTCTCATCTTTAGGTTTTTATCTTCCAACAGATAGGGAGATTTGAGATATTCAACGTATCTCCCTACTCCGACGTTTTCGTCGAAGTTTCAAAAGTTCAAGAATCGTTTCATCTACAGGATCTTCGTTCTTCGAAATCTACAGGTGAACTATGCCTTACCTGTATGTACAAATCCTCGTTTCTCAAGTGTTCAGCAATGAATTCGACAGCCTCGGTAGCCTTGCTAGCTTCCGGGCTAAGTAACACCGAATCCGAGCTCTCGGATCCTCTTCTATCAGCCAAGCCCTCGCCGCCAGTTGCGCTCGAGCTGCTGGTAGTGTGATGTACCTTCCTGTTGATCTTGCAGTTAGGATGATGAAGATTGGACAGCTCCATCACCTCCATCTTCGACTTAGCTAACGAGGCGGGCAGGTGTTTCGGCAATTCTGTTGGGCTTCCCGAGTAAGTAGATGTCGGCAATGTCACGTTCGGTATCTCCATCATCCACCTCAGCCTGGTCTTCTTCGGTCTTCTCATCAGCAGTATGGTCGGCAGGTACTTGAGGAAGATCTTTCTGATGAGCTGCGGCATCCTGTGCGTCCGGGGTCCGCGAAAGTTCCAATTGATGATGATCACGGTCACCAGGATACTGACAGTGTTCATGATGAAGGTGAATAGGAGGTACTTGGCGATCAACGGTAACACGAGCGATGTAGGCGGCAGGATCTTGCTGACCAGCAACAGAAACACGACCAAAGATAGCAGAATACTGATTCCGAGCGTCACTTTCTCGCCAGCTTCCGCGGGAAGATAGAAGACCAGCACGCAGAGGAATGAGATCAGAACCGTCGGGAGGATCAAGTTCACCGTGTAGAACAGAGTCTTGCGTCTGATTATGATGTAGAAAGTGATGTCCGTCTCTGTCGGGAAGTCGCCCTGGTAAGTGTTCAAGTACGCCGGTACGCTAATGATGTCCCAAGTGCCACTTTTCCAGTAATCGGACAGATCCACGAAGTTCTTGTTGTTGTAGAGTGCTAAAGAGACTTGGTCGCCGTTGAACGTCCAAGATCCGAATTTCATGATGCAGGTCTGTTGATCGAACGGGAAGTACGTGACGTCGATGGTGCACGAACTTTGGTAAATCGCTGGCGGCACCCAGAGGACGTCGCCGTTAGGATAAATTAGAACGTTGCTTTTGTAACGTACTTCGTAGTTACCGTCCGCGCTGAAAACGGGTCGATGCATTCAATTATTTGGGCGAGGCTCTCGGCGGAAAGTTTTGCGGGGCGACCAGGCAATGAAATTTATATGTGACCGACTGAACTGAAAGACGTGGATTGACACAGAGGTGTCGTTGTCTGCTGACTTGTGTAATTAATGTTTTCGGAGATATTGTAATTATACTGCAGATTTTTAATAGCAGAAAGAACTAATTTTCCAAGGCGATCGCGAGAATCGGAGATTAAATAACAATGTTTCTTCATTTACTAGTCTGCGGTCTTGATATAATTCATATTTTTTTATACAATATCTATACAATAATTCTATAGTTAATTTATATCAATTTTTAGAAAATATTAGAAACTATATATGTGTAACATAAAAAAGTTTATTGCTAGTACCGTGCACATTAAGTAAGGCATTTTCTGTTATCCCCCATTTAACGAAATCTAAAATGGCATTGCACAAAGACGGTTTGTCCGGATATTGATGCGGACCAAAAAATAATTGATAAGAAAGTAATCAATTTCAGCGTGTTATGTTAAACGCTAGATTTTACACATTACTGATAAAAATTAGTGGATGACGAAAAAAAGATGAATTTCAGAATCCTATTATATTATTTTCAATTTTTTATGCAGCCCCCAATTCTTATTACTTTCTAGTTATTATTATTGATTGAAATATTGTGCGATACGTACTTGTTAAACAACACAATATCAGGTTTCCACACTTTGTCTGGTGGCAACCTGAGAACACCGATACCGCCATAGTCCGCTTCGTCCCATTGCAATTGGTAATCCGTCCAGACGAATCGCAGCCATACGTTTGACTTCATGATCTGATTTTTCTCGTTCTACAAATTAATCATGGTTACTAGATACGCTGAATTTCGTAGACAATATATACTGATTATAAAAACTTATATGTATATAACAACGTGAGGTACTTTTACAATAATTACTGAAATAATACGTTAACAAACGCGTAACAACGTCTATGTAATTATATAATATTAATATATCGCATGAATGTACAATATATGTTATTGCAACGTTTAAAGGTAGCATATGTAGTGCATTATTAAAATCTATAAAAATTAAGATAGAGGTAACAGAAATCATGAGAATTCAAAAACGAATTTAATATTGAAGAAATAATCTTAAAAGGCTACATAATTATTAATTTTTATAATACTGTAAAAAAGTAAGAATGTGTTGTTTTCAACATATTTACGGATGTCAGCGATATTAAATATGTCGAATTGATGTTACAATTACGTCGTTATGATTGAAACTACTTTTTTCAAGAATTTCATGTAACATGAATATATTGAAAAAAATATTGAATATTTCTGTTTCCGTTACATTAGAAATTACAAACTCTTGTTACAATTTCATCCTTATGATAAATAATTCTGAATAACTTTAACATCTTCAAAAATACAAAAGAGTATTTATATTATTATTACATTAGAAATGATAGAACAACATCACGATATCGTTCAAATTAGAATGATTTGATCATTTTAACAGCTTTCCTATTTTTATTTAAGTACGAAAACATTTATTTTCTCGCGTTTCCTATTAGCATAATGCAAGACAAAAAACGGAAGCCCTCAATTCCTAAACGGAGCAATAAAAATGCACAACCATACGGCGCAATAATTTCTGCACTTTGTTATTATTCCGAATATGCATGAGAGACCAGACGCGCCCATGCGCCCTTTAAACGAGGCGAACTGACATAATGAATAATTCCGCGAATTTGGACGGGTTCACAATTGGATTCCTCGAGAAACGATACGAAAATGATAGCAAATCGAAATGACACGATCGTGAAATCGCAGGGAAACAGTGATCGTTATCTGTAACAAAATATTTTGGGAAGGTGGAGCGAAATGTTGATAATGAAATCTCACCACGTTGATCAACTGCACGAAAGCCAGGCCAAAGTTCACGTGCACCTTCTCCGTCATATTCTGAACTGGTCTGATGAGTTTATTGTATCCTCTGAACAGATCTCGGACCAACCTCTCCTCATCTTCGGAGCAGAGACCTGAGAAACGACGACGATTAATGGATCAAACGGATCACCAACGATACCAGAAACGTTCCACTGATCGCGCGAATCGTTTGGCGATCGCTTACCGACGCAAAAAGCCGCGGATATCAGGAGAAGACGCGCGAGCCGCAAACAAAAATGCATTTTGGGCAGGTTTTAGGTGTCCCACCCGCAGACACCCTTACTCCACGGCCACCGCCGCAGATCAATATGAGTACGCAGACGCTGGCCAATAAGTGCATTTCCTTTCTTGCCATCCGATCCGCTGGCACACACCCTGCTCCATTCTCGTGCAACAAATTAACAACCCTTTCCAGATATTCCGACGCGGACGCAAACTTCTTCTTCGAAATTCGGTGTTTTCGCTGACGGCGTTCGTCGGAACGTAAAATGCACTTTGTTTCGTAAAATGCACTTTGAAACGCGTGACTCGGATGCGTTCCGGAGTTCGGTGCGTAGGGGGTGACTGGGCAGGGTCCCGCACGGTGAATGCAGTCCACAGATGCGCATGCTGCATGCTTACAATGGTTCTCTGGGAACTGCTTTATCGAGAGATTTTGGACAAATTCGTGTTGGTAATGATCCCACCGTAGATTTTTATGGCAAATAAAAATATTCCAAGATGACACTTTTGATCATTTCGATGAATTGAGAATATCATGATATTCTTCTAATGTCTTCACAATTTTTTATATTTCAGCTACTCATTTTTGCCATAAATCTATCAAATCCGTAGCCTAATAATAATTATTGTAATTCGTAATTATTTATTAATTTGTAGGTTCGTTTCCACCTTGCAATTAAAATGCATTTGCTTACAGAGATTTCAAGGTGTATTCTCAACATGCCATTGGATGCTCAAAAAGTTTTTGGCAATTAAGTTTAGCAGAAATGAAAATGTTGGGTCATCGACGATTTTTTGAGTAATTTTAAGATGAATGAATCTCAGTTACCCGAAGGTACAATCTAATGTAAAAACGAAATCTTTTGCATGAAACTGTTGGATACTTTAGATTTGTAATTTTTGTTGAATTGAATATTTTCTCTAAATAATCTGTGTTACTGATGATCGATAATAAGGTATATCTTAGAAATGAGTGCAGACTTAAAATCAGTAAACTGCTTCGTTCATTCTTATATCTCGTCTGAGCTTGTTGGTGAAGACCTACCGTTGATAAATCCCGACGGTTTCCATTAATTGATCCCACCGTTCACGCGATGTAACCGTTTGCGCCCACTAGGAGTCGCCATTGTATGAAAGCAAAACTTGTATGCACAAGGTGATAATTTTACATAAAAAAATATATCGAGAAGAAATAGTAACATTTTTTCGTTGAATTTTATTTCCAATAAATAAAATGCATTTTCATTTGAACAACGAATGTGTATACAGTTATTCCTCTGGTATTTTTTCACATTGTACAAAATAATTTGCTAATGTAATATCTAGACTGCGGATTTTATGCATTTCTGACGAAATTGATTTTACGTCAAAAAGAAAATTAGAAAAATTAGATTTTGAGAATATGTTTACATTATTTACAACTTGTTCAAATTGTTAAAAAAGAAAAGACATTGTCGACTGACACGATTAACACAAACAACTTTTACTTTGCATAAAAATCCGCTGTCTATCAATACGTCTGAAAAATAATAAGAATGTGCCATAATAAACATGGCCGCTTAATTCTTAAAATTGTGTGCGCTTTTATTCATTTGCCAGGGTATATTAAGAAGAATATCGAAATTTCAATGAAAAGCATGCAAATATTCATTCGGTTCTATTACTTTAATACAAATGCTTCGGGACCGCGGCTTAAAGGATTCTATTTTAAGCTTCATTTACAATTTCATTTGCTACGTTATTCCTGTCTGTAACGAGCCTAATTCAAGCGCGACTAAATTGGTCGACGACGAGCTGTGTCCCGCAAAATTTCGCGCCACAACCGCACTTCATAATTTATGAGTTGGAAGTTATTATCATACGGCAAAGGTGACGTCGTACCTACGACGAGTTTCTAAAAATGTTTTAATACCGCGCTTTGTTTCGAAGATTTTGCAAGCTTTTAGAAGAATTATACAGTTTAATACAATTAGGTGTGAATAGCTAAATTCATTTACCTTTCTCTGAAATGGAAGTAGTCGCTATTTCTATAAGTTATTACAGTGAGTACGGACTAATTATTAATTTCATACTGTTCAATTTGACAATTGAATAAAGAATGAAAGTAGAACTAAAAATAAAAAGAAGATAGATAAAATAAGAACTGTCTGCATTTATTACGGCATACGAGAGATAGTTACACATTCATTTCTATTCTGAGTCATTTTAATAAGTCCAAAATAATGCAACAGTATCATTAAATTCGCGAAACATTTTCACACTGTTCTGAATTTGATCTTCTCATTTTATCATAAATGCATTAAGTCCTCGGTCTAATAATGAGCAACATATTAGTCGGATCATATCAAAGATCATTTTTCCCAAATATTATATTGTCAATTGCCGACGTCTGGCAGGTAACGATCGCTCTATAATGTATTATTGCATATATTTTTTAATATAAAGAAAGTGTAGCATAATTATCCGTTCAATTATTTCCTATAAAAATATGCGGTTGCCTAAACTTCGGCAGTCTAATCACGAGCATGAAATTCTTGAGTGGTATATCAATCGACTAGATGTAGTTCGCAAGTACCATGAAATACGATTGCGCGTCGTCGAATTTATGAGCGTTCAAAGTTCCACATTTTCATCGCAGCACGGCGCACGACACGCGCGTTTTCATTTCAACCATTAGATTGTGCCGACGACGTCGAAGAGCTTCGTCGACAGTAGTTTCGCGCCGGGTTCCAAGTCGCTGAAGGCACCGTCTTCCAAGGAGTTCCTGCCTGTCTAGTGCTCCCATGTATATTCTAATATGTCTGTTGCGAGCGCGATTCTAAGTAAGATATCTGTATTTTCTCAACATGATGTTCCGTGCGAACGGGGTCAAGTATCTATTTCGAGCCCGTCGCCTGACAAAATAGCAGTCTGACTAAGGAAACCGACAGAAGATTTTGCGGCCAGATGGCAAATGGATCGCACGGTCGACTGCAACCGCGCGCATCAATTTCGAATAAGGTCCTTAAAGCTTGATCGAGTTTCTGGAACGTTAGCTCGCTTACCCGTGTTAGATCTTTCGTGGAGCGTTCTAGTTTTCCGTCCGTGAGTCGTCGTTAAACTGTTCCCTAAGTCTATTTTCGCTTTCTCAATAACTTTGGCCACTGTTTGGCCTGCGGAAGAGCTTTCTCCCGCAGCTCGTAAAGAAATTGTACAGGTTACGGATATTCTCATCGGCTGTATCGACACGATCTGTCGTAAACAGTTCTTAGTTAAACACCGGATAGGGTCACCTGTCCAGTGAATACACGCTTAAAGGGGTATTCTAATCTTCTTGAATCAACCTCATGCATCGGCGTTCTTCTTATATATTTGTTGCTCTTCCAAGAATGTTTACATATTTTTACAACAAGAAGTAGTCGAAATAGTCAACATTGCCTTAATCAGATAATAATAATCCTAAAAGAGTTGCCATATATCTGAATTCGTGATAACAAGGACTAAAACTAAGATATTTTATTTGGAGAAATAAAATATCTTTTTATTGAGAAATAAATTATTTTATTGAGAAATATTATTTTATAAATATTATTTTATTATATTATTTTTATAAATATTATTGAGAAATATTATTTTATTGAGAAATAAAATTCTATTCTATTCTTTGATAAGAATATTCAACCATTATCTGATTATCTCGTTTCTGAAAATGAATTTAAATTCTCACATGTTTACAAAATATGTCGAAAGAAATTCAGAAATAAAATGATAAATGATTCTAAGTATACCGAGTTAAATTTTTGTCAATAAAATCGGTCAATCCAGTGCTAAAGTACATGCGAACATACAATAAATATCCTCTTTTGTTTTAGGGGATAAAAGTCCACAGTTAGAGGATAATTTTGTTATTTTTGAAAACAAGCACATGCCACAATCTTATAATTTCAGACAGCACATTGGAATAGACTGTTATTTTCATAGAAAACGCGGTACGAAATGGTATTTATTTTAAATGATACATAAACGATTGCTATTAAATTTTTGCATAAATTCTTATTATTATCACATTTTTTATCGAATCTGGAATATTGCTAATCTCACCGAGCTTTTATACATTGCTACCTAATAACAAGTGAATGATACAAAAATAATAGGTTATACAATGACCGAAAGGTTATATAAAACATCCATTAAGCAAAAACTATCAAAATTGATACACACGTGACATGTGCTTATTTTCCAGCGAGCTCCTCAATCGCAAAAAATGCGCGGAAACAGATTCGGTCACCAGCAGCATAAAACGTGAAATATAAATAAGGCTTAATAATTGTGAAACAAGACCCTCTATAAAAACCGTGCGATAAAGCATGCATATTTTGTGAAAATCGTCGCCATTCTTGATCGTGCTGTTCAACGATTTTCCCCCACTGCATATTCGCCGGGTTAGTTTCGCGCACAACGATTCGGATTTATTTTCAGTTGTCACACGTTTCGCCGCGGGTAGAAGTGTACGATTTTGTTCGTGGCGTTTAAATCGTTGCAACCCTTTTGAACGGTCCAGGGCCAGGTTTCGACAGGATGAAGAGCGTATCCGAAAAAAAGGGAGAATTCCGACGTGCCTCAACCCTTACGCGTGAACGCTCAAAGGAAGGGCACGCACATGCGTCGAATAAAGCGGTCCGGCATTGTCGGGCGAAATTGCCTTTGCAATGTTCAGGAGGCTGTTTCCATTCGGTCGCCTTCTACGACAACCTGTATTTTGTCTGAGCAGGGCTCTACGCGGAAAGAAAGAAGATAGGGACTCGGTTGGCTACTCTTAACGTATGATGATACCCTTTGAGGACTGAACGTTATCTGGCTGGGCTATTGTTCGGGCTGGACTCGAAACTTTAGAATGGCAGAGACACAATGGTAATAAGACTAACCTTACTAGCGGAACAGAACGGAAATATTAGCTCGACGCAAAAATAATCATGGTTTTCTTCAGATATTTATTACTCGAACATGGCTTGTGCTGTGCCATCCTAAAGCGTATAGTTAATTTCATTAGTTCGTGCAAATAGCTTTCGGCTTTTATTAGTCTATAGTCAAGTCAACATCATAGATTATTAGTCACTATTCTATCCGTCGCTTATGTATACTAAACGACTAGTAAGATATTGTGGCGTCGCATCCCTCTACCTGAGCGCGGCCGCTAGCAATAAAACAAGTACCGTTCCTAATCCTCAAAATTCCCTAAAAAACACGCACCCCTAATAAAACAATTCTCCTCACATCTGGACACCTCGACCCGCACGGGACTTTCCCAACTTTCTCCTTTCCTACGAAAGTCCATCTGTTCCTTTCTTCTCTTCCAGTATAAAAGAGACA